CGCAGGCATTTGTGGAGAGCGCTGCCCAAGAAAAAAGGCTCGGGAGCCCGGTCTCAAGGGAGCTGGAACAGCCTCACACAGAGCAGGGGCGTGAGAAGTTAGTGGGAAACACCGTCTACACCAAGCCTTCGTTCACCCAAGAGCGTAAGGCGGCAGTCTCCTCTGTGCTGAAACCCTTCTCCATGGGCGAGCCTTCTGCCTCCACTCCTGCAAAAGCCCTACCTGAGGTCAGAGACAGATCAAAAGACTTAACCCACGCTGTTTTCATTTTAGAAAATGCAAAGGCTAGAGTTAAAACAATGGAGGCTGCTAAACCTTCCAGAAAAAACTACCGCTTTCATAAAACTGGCTCCCGTGTGGCCCACAGAACACCCAAGGCCAAAATGATTAGGAAGTTGAGAAAGGAAGGTTATCTCGATAGACTGATGCTCGCAAACAGGCCGCTGTTGTCTGCAGCGAAGAGCCTCATAAATTCACAAGGGGCTTTTTCATCCTTAGGAGACCTGAGTCTTCAACAAAACCCTTTTCTGGAAGTATTTGCTCCTTCAGAACGTTTTATAGAAAACACTAATGTAAAAGACACAGCTGCAAGAAATGCCTTGGAAGAAAACATTTTTATGGAAAACACTACTATGCCAGAAGGTACCATCTCTGAAAACACAACCTACAATCCTCCTCCTGAGGCAGATTCCTCTGGGACTGCGTTCAGCTTAGGGCCAGCTGGTAAACAAACTGAGACAAAATGGGAATACAACAACGTGGGCACTGACCTGTCCCCTGAGCCCAAAAGCTTCAATTACCCATTGCTTTCATCCCCAGGTGATCAGTTTGAAATTCAGCTAACCGAGCAGCTACGGTCCCTCATCCCCAGCGAGGATGTGAGAAGGTTTATTTCTCATGTTATCCGGACCTTAAAGATGGACTGCTCTGAAACCCGTGTGCAACTGACCTGTGCCAAGCTCATCTCCAGGACAGGCCTCCTGATGAAGCTTCTCAGTGAGCAGCAGGAAGTAAAG